CTTTGACAACTCAAAATTCACCCAAGAAAGAGGGTGCAGCTTTTTTATACTCCGATGGTCAAATTCACTTAAAATCTTGTAGGACGCATCACGCAGCAGATCAAATCCACGGTGATAAAAAGAATAGATGTCAGTATTTCGTGGCAAAAAATGGGGGGCGTTTTTTTTCTCTCCGGAAAATACGGTCTTGATGGACAGAAGTGTTGTCGCTGTCCTTTAGCCTGGGATCAACATCTTTTCCTCTTACGATTGGCTTATAACACTGTGTCCATCGGTCTACAGGGTTTGCTCCCCATGTTTTTGCTGTTCGGAACAGAAGCCATCTTGCCCATGGACTTATTCTTACCTTACCCTAATACCCCCATGGAAGCCCTCTATCAGTTTACATGTCTAATTTTCGATCGTCTTCGGGTCGGGCATTTGGCGTTGTACATGATCGCCTGATATAGTGGACAGGGTTTTAAATAGGGCTGAGTTGGGTAGCATTTTCTTCGGGTACCGGGTTCGGTTAGTTTTCCACGGGTAGCACGGGTACCCGACCGGGTAGTGTTTCCATGGTAACACAGACCATCTGGTAAAAGGAGAGCGATCGCTCTCGCGCGCCTTCGCTCTCCTTATTTTCTTTTAGGGCCGGGTTCCACTGCAGCTCCGCGGCTCCGCTGCTCGTCTTTCGCGGCTTGAAACGTCATCATTAGGGCCGGGTTCCACTGCGGCTCCGCTGCCCCGCTGCTCGTCTTTCGCGGCTTGAAACGTCATCATTACCATAGTGACCGCGGCTCGAGCTGGAGCAGCGAGTCCGCGGGTCACCGCGAGCTTTTGCTACGATTCTTGACCAAAAACTGCGAGCCGCGGTCGCGGCTCGACCCGTTTCCCGTACTTTGCAGTGTTTTGTACGCCAGAATTTTAAAATTCAAATTTTAATTCGTTGCGCAGGCCAGAACACGAGGATTTGTTTGATTTCGCGCGCGCAGGCAGGTGAAACGTCATCAAAAAGTGTGGACTACGACCGCGGTACCGCGAATGGCGAGTGACAGTGGAACCGCACTGCTCCGCTGCATGCAGCCAAGTGCCGCGGAGTAGCGGAGCCGCAGTGGAACCCGGCCCTTAGGGCGCACTTTTCGTCGCGCGCCTTGAGAATTTCGAGCGCATCCGCATCACTATGAAGTTCTGAAAACACTCAAATATTTCGTACCTCGGCTTTCCCTGAACGGAATCCAGTAATCAAAAGATCTATTCGCATTAGAAAGTTCTCAGCTGTCGGCTCCAACAAATCGGAAGTCGATCCGAGGTCCAATAGTGGAGTTACGGCACTCGCAAGGTATTTTACGTGCCGTTGCAAATTTTCACTTCCGCACACATAATGTTGACATAAAGGATTTCCCTCTGTTGCGTGACAGTCCGGGCATGCATAGACCTGTGTACGTGTGACACCAGGCACAGATCTTTAGCCGTCAGCTACAGAACAAAGCCTCAAAGGAGCGCTCTACGATGAACACTACAAAAATACCATGGATCCTTAGCGAATTGTCTCAATTTCCCATTGCGTGTGTCATTGTCCCTGATGAAGGGAAACTAAATTTGTGGTCCGAACAGCTTTCATTTGTACGTGCGTACGGCGATTTTCCAGAACAAATTTGGCAGCTATTGGGTATTGAATCCGATTGGGGTATGGCAAGATGTTGAAAGAACCCGTATTGTGCTCGCCTTGGATAGATAAGGCGAGCGACTTTTTTTGGGGGGGGGGGGGACTGCTCTCCCACCACTCTCCTTGAGAGGATAGCGAGAGTGATTGTTCACTCTCCTGGATTTTTCTTACACGAAGGTCTGTAACACCACAATGCACCCCTTCCCTTACACACTGGTCGACATGCGGAGTATTACATAGATTTGTAGACATGCACTGTACATGCTGTCATCTGCGACTTCGGATTTTCGGGTTCTATTCTGTACCCGTCTACCCGAGGTCCTCACGGGTAGCACGGGTACCCGACTACACGTGCACACTACTAGTTTTTCAGTCAGTGTATGATTGGCGTGCCCCAATACGACGAGGTGACTATAATAGGCTCCTTGCTGCACTCCACCCCCACCCCCGCACGCGAGCATAATTATTATATTCTCTTTTTTCTCCGTACACCTTCTTTGCTTCTTCTTGGACTCTCATGGCAATCGGAATACGAATCAGTTCCTCTGGGGGTTGTGTATGTGGGAAGTGAATGAGAGGGAAGTGAGAGTATCGGAGAAGTCCATCGTCAGGTCCATCCCGACGACATTTTCGGTTGAGAATTTCCTTGAAAAAAATTGTTGAGACGAGGTCTTCGCAAGGCAAATTAATGGTGCAAAATTCACGACTATGTTCAGTGCATACCATATGTGCAATTTTATCAATTGTCAAAATTGTGCATTTCCCGGCCGGAGCGCTAGCAACTATGTCCAACGTGAATTTTGACCATGGCATATGGATCATGGTGAGGATTCATTGTCTTTCTCAGCTTGTCATGGCAGAGAGGGGGGAAATTCCAATGCAGTGCAAATGCTGCACATGGTAGTCGACTACCACGTGCAGCATTGGCCGGATTTATCGGCGAATATAGTACCCAGAGAACTGGGGTCTATGCAAGCTATCATTAAAGCTTTGCTTTTAATGGCAACATACTTCCATACATGGCGCATTCCAATCCAGCCCTGCCGCTGTATCTGAAAGTCGACGTCCCGAACGTTGTCAGCGCTCTCTGCGTCCGCCGTGCAAATGGCCGCCAGGATCCGGTGAACTCGGCCGAACATGGACACGCCGGATATCATCCTAACGGACACCGTCGTTCTTTTGTGGCGGACGCATGTGTATCCGTGTGCATGCAGGCAGGGAATGACAACAACAACAAAACATACAAACACAAATCAAAATTCAAAGTAAGGAAGGAGTCAGTACATGCCGGTTGACTTGTTTGAAGTTGTTTCTTCCTCCATCTGAAACCCCTTGACCAATGTATGCTCAAAACAAATCTTCAGTCGCCTTCAGGTCCGTCAGGCGAAATAGCACGTCATAGTACATTCGAGATCAGCGGGAAGAAGATGACGACGTCCACTAATTTAGTATCTGTGTGCTCAGGCTGCTCCTGCGCCTGTTGTGCCACCAGTACAGCCTCAGCCCGTTAATGTACCAGGCCCACGTGACCATTTGCGCAGAAATGCTGGTCCGCCTGCCTGGCACCGTGACTACAATATGTAACTGGTACACTGACTGTCCGCTCTGGGTGACTCCAGTTTAATTTAGGATGCTATGGACTTGGATTGCGCTAATACATTAGGCAGTTCATTTTGTACAGATTTCTAAGTGTGTGAGTGTGTGTGTGTGTGTGTGTGTGTGTGTGTGTGTGTGTGTGTGTGTGTGTGTGTGTGTGTGTGTGTGTGTGTGTGTGTGTGTGTGTGTGTGTGTGTGTGTGTGTGTGTGTGTGAGAGAGTGTATGTGTGTCAATGAATAGGTGAGTGAATGTGGTGTATTGTATGTGGTGTAGTGTATGTGGGTCAAGCCCATGTGAGACAGTCCATGTGTGACTGTGCATGCCCGTGTGCGCATGTGTGCCGGCATGATTGCGAGTGCGTACGTGCGTGAGAATGTGTGTCCTATTTTCTTCGTATTTAATTTGGTATATGCTGTGTTGCTTTGAATTTGGTGTGTGTTGTGTTGATGTATTCACTTGAAATCGGGGACGATTTATTTTCGTAGGGGGGAGTAGTGTAGGAGTTGCATTTTGATAGAAAGTATATTTTTCGCAGTAAAAGAGTATTTATTTGTAGAGCTTGTGTTGATACAGATTCCTAGGTTCAAACCCCAAGATGGGCAGTTAGTTACATTTTCTCTCCTTGCGTATTTTGTATCTGCATGTTATTACCCTTTCCGTGAGTCGCTCGTGAGTAATGTATGAGTCGTGTATGGCTAAACCCGTATTTACCCGTATGACTGCTGCTAGTGTTATTGTTCCAGGCCATTAGCATAATTAACCAATCACAGTTCACAGCTCTGGAATATTCTAGAATTTCGTCGGCGACCGGTTTATATAGATTGCTCATTGGTTGCTGACCTAAAAACATGGCTGCCGTTCGCCGCGTGTTTTGTCTTCTTGCATTGTTCTTTTCTTGTGCTCTTTTCACTTCTTATCTTTACTTGCCGAGTGTGTAACTAATAATTCTGTCCTAACGAGTATTCGTGAAACCACAAAGTGAGTGCTTTGTTTGAGTGTGTGAAATTGTCTCCGAGGGCCAACTACTACATCTGTGCACACGATTCTGCTGTGTGTGTTACTCTGTGTGTCAGCTATGGCATCATCGCCTGTGGTTCCATGCCTAGCATGTACGTCTGAACCATCCTACAAAGTTTGAATGACGTAGGTTGAGCGATCGCTCCGCGAAACATACTTTTTGAAATTCTCTTCATAGTATATCTTCCACCATTGAAATTTCGAATTTCTTCGAATTTTTTGCTGAGAGGGGTGGCTTGCAACCTCGATATGGCTTGTTCCCGGCATGCTTTGGAGCCATCGCCTGTTGAAACAGTGGCGGGAAGCTGCCCTGCAACTGTTCCAGCAGGAAATTAATCGATCCGAGAAAGCGCGAGTCCGCAAATCTCGGTTGAATATTGAGTATTTCAAGCCTTTTCACGACGAAGATGGAGTTCTTTTTGGAGATGGACGTCGCGACAAAGGACATGGTGTCCGACTTCTGGCGTCTGGTGAAGCCAGGGATCATTTGTCCAGTCAGGTCGGCAGCCTAACCGTCGGTAAGCTTGTGTTTGGATCCCGTTCTGCTCGATGTGGTAGATCACAAACAATTTGATATCGCACAAATTGATCTCAGCATCGTGCGTACGGTATTTTATATTCAGAAAATCCCAAAGTGTCTCTGTGTGGCCGTCCTATGCCACGAGAAACTCGAATTAGGCTCCTATGTCCTCTGCCTTCATGATTGAATGTCCACTTCGTTTGAACAACGAACACAACAATCGAGGACGGCTTTGCAATGAAAAATACAGCTATAGGAGAGCTGAAAAAAAGAAGAAAAAACGGGCTCAGGATGAGACTCGAGTACACGCATACTCTCCCAGCAGGTGAAACGCAAATTTTTGTGAAAAATGCGTGACGCCGACTGACCAGTAATTTCGCCTGACGGGGCATTCGCCATTGTACGAACAAAAAGAAAATGAGCCGCATCACGATAAAAGGGTGCTTATGACACGCGACATCAAACTGAGAAAAACTCGTTTGAAAGTCGAGTATGCAATATTGAGAGTGCACATTTTCTTTTTGAATTCGATTTGTTTTCGTTGCCATTTATCAAGCTTTTTGAATGCGGTTTTTTGCAACAGAAGCAGTGATAATTCAGCCATTGCGCTGTATCCATAACTCAGTTTGTGAAATGTTTGCCATAAGCACCCTTTTGTCATGGTGCGGCTCAAATGTCCCTGCACTCGCACTTTTTCTGTAAATCACATGCGCGTTTCACTGTTGTCAACACATGTTCTGACATAACGTTACAACCGCCTTCATAGTGTCACGGCCTGGACGCGACGCCTGCGGCCCGACAGGTCCTGTGATAGCAGGATCTATGTACAGTAGCGCGCAGCTCTGTGTTTGAGCTGTCACAATCTATACTATCACGTGGTTTGGCCAGTGTCTTGTCCCACGTGTTGAGCATGGGGGGCTGGTTGAGCGGCACTCGCTGCTCCACGTAGGTGTCATGCTTCTTAGGCATGATATCCCACGTCGGTGTCATGTCTCTTGGACATGACACATCGTGTGATTCAACAAAAAAAAGGGGATCCTTTCTCGACAAAACAAAATACAGTAAAACCTGTAACTAACGACCACCGTGACTAGCGACCGGCCTGGTACTACCGACCACTTTGTCAGGCACGGACGGTCTCACATTCAAAATGCACTGTGACTAGCGACTACCTGCTGAACGCGACCAGCGACCGCCTTTTCTTGTCCCAATGTCGAATTTTGACCCGTAACTAGCGACCGCGATGTAGCAAATCAAACATTGCTTGAAGCTCCTTCTCGAAATTTTGATGATTTTCCATGGTCGTTTCGATACTAAAAAGCTGGACAAATGAGCGCAGTCTCATTTTTACTGTGGAATCAGTGTGGATTGCACTACACCTGTCATAATTTCAAGTGCTGTCAAGAACAAACATGATAGGAAACGTCTTGGAGAACGCATCCAAAGCGCTCTTTGATCGATGTTACTACTCGAAGGAGAAACTAAGACTGAGCGGCTCTCTGTCGAAGTGCAATCACACAGCTCAGTCACCAGACTCACCACTACACCAGGTCACACTGACAGTCTGTGCTGGCTAGCTAGCATGCTACCAGTACCAGGCAGGGAGTCCCGACTCCCTGCATGCTACGGTATTATGTACTCACCTGTACGGAACACAGACCAGTGAAAGGTGCGAAAACTCGCAACATCGCCGCATCATGTACCATGATGTACCGGTACACACCAGTACAGTTTACGCTACACTACATCCAGTGAGTCGACATATCGCTTCCAGTGTATAAAAAACTTGATTTTCTCTCTCTCCAAGTGTTGTATGATCTGAAAGAAGAATGTCAGTGCGCAAGTGGTGGGGGATTGTATTATCTGCATTTTGACATACATATCATATAATGGGATCCATATATGGTCGCGCGGTGCAAACCTCTAACTAAAGACCACCTGCCACTAACGACCACTTTTCCGGGCACCAAGGGGTGGTCGTTAGTTACAGGTTTTACTGTAAACAACAACTACGTGCAGTGCAGGTGCTTTTTGCAAAGCAGTACACTGCCATCACTGCACTGGCTGTATATGTTGTAGTAGAGTAGAACCTGGGTTAGGGATCCACCTAACTCTGCACGGACATAGCTGGACCCAGTTGTACAGGGATGGGCAAAAAGGTGTGCAAAACGACTTTTTGTGAGTAGATGGACCCCGGAAAAATAGTTTGGAGCAAAAAAAATTACGGCTCCCTCGGAAACCGACGGGGGACCCCCCCCCTTGGACCGGAAATTAAATCCCGGAATAAGGATCACCCGCACAATGTACATGCCAAGTGACCCCCCCCCCCCCCCCCCCAGGCTCCGATCCCTAATCCGGTGTGACTAACCGGGTTCTACTCTATACCTACAACTTCATTATGGCCCAGCCAACCCAGGGCAAGGTCACTGTTGAGGGCGCAGGCAAGTGGCTGATGCTCAAACCGTTTGCGGGCTCGTGAGGCAAATGGTTATGTCGAAGTCGCACAACCAAACGATACGGTAGATGCAGAATCTAGGGCTAAACTAGAGCTAATGGCCCGGGTAATCCTTTGTAAGAGCTTAACCGGCAGTGCAGCTTTAATGCTGCAGTCCTTGACCGCAGCCGAACGCCTAGATAGAGCAAACATAGAGCAGGCTTTACAAGATAGATTTGGGGATAAGGGCAAGGAACCTTTGCGCCAGACCGAGCTCCAGGCTCGCAAACGGCGGGTGGGGGAAACATTGACGGAACTCGGGGATGCCATCCAGGTACCGTATTTTACCGGTTGTAAGTCGACCCCGGTTATGAGTCGACCCCCCTAACTGGAGGTCTCAATTCTGCGTTTTAAAGTTTTCACCCAAAGAAGCACTACTAACCACCTCCTGCTACTAACACATCAACAAATCATGTAAACATTCCTCATTGGAGGATATAACGTCCCAATCCTTGAAAAAGGCCAATAAACTGGCAAAAATGTGTAAACATGGTGCACTCGTGCATGCGGTGCAGGTCATTTTTTGTAAGATACTGATAGTTCCCGGTTGTAGGTCGAATCCCGGTTGTAAGTCGACCCCCACCCTTTCTCCTTCTATTTTAAGTCGTAAAAGGTCGACTTACAACCGGAAAAATACGGTATTGGTGGCTAAGGCATATTCGGGGGCGCCTGGTATCATTCTGTCCGTGCTTTTTGGACGCTTTGTCTCCCGACATGCGCCGTCGTGTGGGGGACCACGAACCTCAGACGCTCATGAACGCCGTTCAAAAGGCAGTCGTCCTGGGGATGCAGGACCAGTTGCACCCGGTCACTGAACCTGTGTTCGTCGCGTCGGCGCACCTGGATAGTTTAGAGAAACTATGTGCAACACAGACCAGGCTGCTTGAAAACCTCTGTGCGCAGCGCGAGACTCCGGCTCCTGACCGCTGGTCACGAAGTCCACGCTGTTTTGGTTGTGGCAACCTTGGTCACCTCCGCCGCGATTGCCACTCAAATCCACGTGACCGCGGGCGTAATCCTCGTGAACACCAGGGTAACACTAGCTCTTTAAACTAGATGAGGCGGCTGGTGCGGGTCGTCCCGCCGCCTCGCCTAGGTGTGTTGATTCTACTACAATAGCTGTAGCCCTACCTATTTTTGTCGAGGACGAGAATAAGTGTGACCCTGATACATGTATGCATGTGTGCATGAGTGACGCCGACCCCGCTGAGTCGGTAGCGGTTCCGTCAGGTACGATTCCTGAGATTGTGATAACACCAGATATTGAGCCTGTATTGTTTTCTAATGCTGCCTCTCTGTCTGTGGGTGATGTGTGTGCTTCCGAGCACACTCCGGCTGAATCTCACCTCTGTACTCCGGTTGCCGCTCCGCTGCCCATCCCACCGTCTATTCCGGTCGAGTTATTGGATTCCCTCCCGATGGGTGCTGTCACGGCCGTCACCGATGCTGTGCCTTTCTACATCCACTGCGCTGGCACCAGTCTCTTCGCGCCAGGTAAGCTAAGTACTGACGGGTGTACTTCTGTAGTATCCTGTCTAGTTGACACGGGGGCGGCTATCACATTGGTAAATTTTGCGGTGGTGCAGAAATTGCAGGCAGAGCACTTATTGCGACCTGCATCGGAGTCGGCGATGTCAGCACTATACACGGCGGGCGGGGGAACCTTAGACATGAAGGGCTGCTTACCCCTGAGATTTCAGTTTGGACACATTTCGTTTTCAGCACGGGTTTTGGCAGTCGCTGGGTTAACGGAGGAGTGTTTGTTGGGGGCTGACATTTTGGCAGCCCATGGTTTTTCGCTGCACCTAGATGGGTCACAGCGGTTAACGTTAGCAGAGCACACCGTCCCACTATCTAGGGGACGGGGGGATATAGTGCCAGTGCATTCCGCCAGGTTCGGCGGTGACGTGCAAAGTACGTTGTGGTTAGGGTTTTCGACCCTGTTGCTCCTGATAGCAAGTATTTGCGGTTCAGCTCGGCGGTTTTAGTGTGCAAACTAGCGTTGGCTTTTACTTTTGTAATTGCGTTTATTGTTCGGGTTGGCATCAAGTGGCCTGTGTGTTCCCCTACCCCGGTGGTCGCCCCAGGGTCTGCCCCCCCCCCTGCTGCTCCGCCCGAACTTTCCTATCCTATATCCTTAGTGTCGCCTGTAGAAATTCCCCCATGGTTGCAGTTGCTGTTGCGGGGCGCAGTCACGGCACCTCCCGAGATGATTGGTCTGGTAGAGGTGTAGCGACCTCGCTGCATGACGTCAGCTCCCTCACCAGATATACGCATGCGCATGAAACATTTCTTCCTCTTTGTTCTAAATAAAACAACAAACAATTAGACAAAGTTGCCCTCTCCCTCGGAGTTGTATTTATTAGGCCCCAGGGTGGTATGTCCCGGGATTCATCTGTCTCCCCCATGAACAGATACGACCTCTGCCATATTGGGTGCCTAAAGAGGCTGTAGTGGACTCTGATCTGGGGTATGCCCTACCCCGTGCTGTTTGCACAACTTCTTGAACGCTACCTGATGCGCCTCTGCCCAGACAAATGGGGTCTCCTTTCTCAAGAGGTCATGCAGTGGATGGGCCACCGAAGCAAAATGCGGAATGAACCGACGATAATAAGACGCAAATCCAAGAAAGGATTGTAGTGACTTAAGTGTGGCTGGCTGTTTCCATTCAGCGAGGTACCAGAAGTGGAAAGGCTGTGGTGGGAGATGATGATTTGGATCTGGATCCCACGAGCACAGTGTTGGCTGACCAGGGGTCGCCCTGTGTTGAGGAGCCTGTGAGGGGGAGACTCATCTGGGGATGATGAGTTGTTGCGCCTGAGGTCCCTCGTTGCTCGCTATCGGAAGGTATTCGCTATGAGCTCGACCGAGCTGGGGTGTACTTCGGTGCTCCACCATCGGATCGAGACTAATGGACGAGGTCCAATTTTTCAAGCCGCACGGTGCTTGCGTGGGCTTCACGAGAGTCTGCCCGTCAGTTGGTCGAGGACATGAAGGCTCAGGCTGTGGTTGAAGATTCCTGCAGTCCTTGGTCTTTATTGATTGTCCTTGTCCAGAAGAAAGAAAGAGTGCTGTAGGGTGGCTGAGTCATGTGACTGTCAAACCATGGTCAAGCGTAAGGGGTGCTCCGAAGAAATAGAGGTCAAGATGACATAGTCGTGTGGGAAAATGTTTACTCGTGCATCACGTGCACACAAACTTTCTCCAGCAACCACTCTGGCAGACAGCCTCCCCCCCCCCCCCCCCCTCCCTCACTCTCACCCCTCACCATTTTGCCAATGTACAAGTGCCAGAGCTACAAATGATAGTACTTACCCTGCAAGAAGTCCAGTGAGCAACTGCAGTCTGATTTTGCAAGTACACAGGAACACACACACACACACACACACACACACACACACACACACACACACACACACACACACACACACACACACACACACACACACACACACAGAGGAAAATACACACGCTCTTCATTATGAACATGCAAAGCGATGCACGTCACACCCACAACTACGCCCCCTTCCTTCCTTCTTTCTTTCTGGCACTGCTATGACAGGCTGTCTGGCCCAGTAAGGGGCAGACCAGGAGGTGCGACGTACACCGGGTGGGCAATGACCAACTCGTCGCATGCAGACTGCACGAACAGCAATACCCTTATGCCGCGCAATGCCTTGTGGACGTCGAACACTGAGCCCACCGGTATCACATATCAGGGGCTTCGCTTCAGGCTCCATAAGAGACTGCACGATAGCGTTGGTGCAATCACGGCAAGTGCCCCCCCCCCCCTGCAGGTCGATGAATGCAGCGAATTCTTCCGTTGCATAATTCTGCAACGGTTCCATAATTTGTTGCCCAGCAAACAATGTATCCGCGACAATTGCGGAAGCCGAACTGTAGTCAGGCAAGCACTTCCCCCGACAATCTGCAGGCGATTTGAACAACCTCCCCCCCCCCCCCTCCCCCTCCACTCACCCACATGCCCGCATGCGCACGCTCACCCCACACCCTACCCACCCACCCACGTGCATGCACGCACACACATGCACTAGAACACACATACACACACACACACTAACCAAATTTGGCTATGGACATGACATGACTCACCCATTCAGCCGGATTTCCTTGGACTTCGCAACCTCCACCGCATCCAGTATTGGCTCCAGCCCTGCTCCAGAAGTTGTATATGGGTACACACACACACACACACACACGCACACACGTGCACACACACACGCACACACACACACACACACTCACTCACTCACGCACACACACACACACACACTCACTCACTCACTCATTCACACACACACACACACACACACGCACACACACGCACACGCGCACACGCGCGCACACACACACACACACACACACACACACACACGAGCATGTACAAGGCAAGCACCAGAGAGTCATAGCACACAGGTAGACCACACAAGATCAAAGCACCCAAAACGATGTGCGTTTTGACCTCGGATCTGTACGTTCTTCGTGAACCGCGCGTGGTCTATGCAACCCAAAGCGCAACCCAGACACACCATGTCATATGCAAGCAATGTACACATTGGCTCTGCCCTGGAGGCTGCTGCAATGGGCAGCCTGGGGTCGAAGCCAACATGATTTGGCGTTACAGTGACCCCGCGTCGTCAGTCCCTGGAAGCTATAACACCCCGGGGTGCGCGCAATACAGATATAACCTGATGGAGCACATTTGATACTATTTTGAAAAAGATGGTAATTTTTGGAAACATGGACCGTGTCCATTAGTCTCGTTGCCATTTTGCAGTACATTATGTCATACATGTATGCGCAACCAAGCCTGGCCAAGCTCATCATATCATATAATGATTGTTTTGCGCTTGCTTCACGGCACTTAGCATGCACAGTCCACTCTAGATATGTCGCGCACCCGATCTTGGAGAAAAAAATGCGTGACTTACCGCGAGTGCGTGACTTACATGTACTGTATACATACGCAAGAGTACATAACGTCCGGATTACAAATGGGCATGTCTTATCTCGAGAGTGTGACTTATCACGAGCAGACCTCTCGTTTCTCTGCACCTAGCCCTCGTTCCTCTGCACTTAGCTCTTGATTCTATGCACTTTCCTCTCGATCTTTTGCACAAGGAGCCCGAGGCATAATGGACGCCTGCAGAACGCCGTCGTCACGCGGTTTTGCACAAGGCCTGGAGAAACATTGCAAGGAAGTGAA